TTTTAACTTTTATTATTGAATATTCGCTAGCACATTAAAATAAACTTCAACCCTTAAGTGCCTCCAATGGGCAACTTATTATCTCCTGTCACCCAAGCTATGTCACCTCCATCACATACGCTTATTGTAAAATAAAATGTACAGATCGTGTACCTATTTTAATAGTAAATTATAGAAAAAAAAAATTGTTTATACGTAGGTATAGGTGGGTAGGTACCTATTATTAGCTGAAAGCAAAATGAATTATATAACAGGATAAAATCGAAATAAGAGTCATTTACTTTCAGATAACTACTGATTGCACATTTGCACATAACTTTATGAATATAGTTTTTAGGGGTAGGAAGGACTGGATCCTTGAGATAGGCATTATAATTTAGCRTCCTTTAAAACAAAGCTTATTTAACCTATTGTATTATTCAATTTATTTCGATTGAAAATACCATTGGTTATATAGTATTTAAATATATGAAATTACTTTATTATAGTTATTTTAGTCTTAGTTCCATTTAAAAATATACTAATAAAAAAATAACCATATATATCTCTATATTCGATTTCGTATATATTATTTACCCGATGATTATTTTTTTTTTTTTTTAGCTTTTATATATTTATACTTTTATTTTAGCTTTTTTATATCTAGCTCAACAATTATAATCAGATGATTATTATAATACTCACRTAAATAAGATGATATGATTTTTTTGGCGTTCACACTCGTATTTCCTAGAACGGATAAAACTTAATTCTGTACCTATTTATAAACATAACAAATTTTATTATATACAATACCAATACACCAATAGGCAATACACAAACATATTACACTAATATACCTACCAATAAATATCTGTTCAGAATAAAATGTAATAATACGAAAATAAGGAGGTATATAATTCGTGTAATATTAATATCTATCATATTATAAGTTATAACATTTTTGTTCAATGTGTGTAGGTGGAGTTTTTATTGTTATATTTGTTGGAATTGGATTAGCTTGTTTCACGTTAGCATTTGAATATTGGTGGTATAAATATAAAAAAGGCTCAAAAGTTGCAAACACGATGAATCCAAAACAAATGTCAATAAATAGAGGTGGTGAATTTACATATCCAGTGGTACCGACGTTTAATGCGAATTCTGGAATGAGATCAAGAAGTATTATTCATGGTTTTAGGTAAATAAAAATCATTATTTTCCAAAATTAATATATTTTTAAATATTTYTATTGTGCAGAAAAAAATTTGATTTTAATATGAAAAATGTTTTATTTTTAGACAATCTGTTGGTCAATCTTCACCTAAACAAAAATAATGAAATCATGCATGTATAACCTACAAATCTATGGACTATGGTGTATGGAAATTCAATCCAATATTATACGTTATGATATAATAACATAGCATAAAGAGTTAATAGTAGAAATATGATTTCTAAATTCTTTCATCCACAACCCACACGAGTATTGTATCGTYCCCTTAATGGATAGAAAAGTAGAGGCTAATTGCTTATAACGTATAACTTCTAAGTTATAATTTATTACAAAAGCTAATGCATGAAACCAAGAACATTGAACATAATGATACTCCTTCGTTGCTGTCCCAAACAAATGTTAAAGCCTAACGTTTTACTCTATCTCAAATTATTTTTAATTACCTATTATAAGTACCTATTCATACCACAAATCAAGTGTAACAATCAGATTAACTACAGAATGATTCGTGTGAGCAATGAGCATTGAACATCCTCATTCTGAATGTCTTCRTCGATTTTATTAATTTTAATTATTTAYTATCTAATTAGTTAATAATTTCTATAATCCATAGTTATTGTAATTGCSGTATGTTATATATTTAATTCTTTGAAAGGTATAAAATATGTTCATTATCAATATTTTATTGCTATACTACGTATATTGCCACATTAGGCGTTATGCCAATAAAATAAATCTCTAATATAATATAAATCAATAAAATAATAACATTATATGTTAACACTAGTTCTAAGATTTTTAATTTCAATTGTTTGATCTTTAGCTCTGCGCATGCCCATATCATATAACTTTGCTGCTTGAATTTTTAGATATATTATTCATTGGTTACATATTTTTCTTGGAATCATAAACTTAGATAGGTAGTTCATAATATCATTAGATATGATAGAAGTTCATGATTARAAATTAAAAGTTTTGGTTATTATTTTTATTTATAAAAATATTGAGAATTAAGACGAAATCAAATATTAATTAGATTTCATAAWTATATTTTCATTATCACACAATATAAGTGGTACCTATGTTAATAAAAATTATAAAAAAAATTGCTAACTCAAGATAATATAGTTGAAGTCAAAATCCACAATTTTCGTGAGAATTGTGGGTTTTATCACAAAACGTTATAGCCTCTACGTTATTGCTTATTTGCATAGGTACTAATTATATTATCAAAAATAAAATAAATTCGATTTATTAGATTCTCATTTTTTTTTCATTATTATACTATCATAATTATGATCATTGATCAAATTTGAATTAGTTTTTAGAAACAAATACTCTTTGTCACCCCATGCACAATTTTCGATTTTTTTTGGAACGTTCTTGTGTTAATTATTTTAGAGCAATGGTAGGTACAAATGTACAATCAAAATTTGATGGTCCAACTTAGTTTCGAAATTATGGCCTTCGGAAATAAGCAATTTCGCGTTTTTTACGCACAGCCAACACGCTATAATTTACCACGCTTTTCATACATTTTTTTTCTGTTTTGGTACTTACGTAACTAACCTTTTTAAAATTATGATTTTTGAAATTTGCAATGAGAGCCAGTTACAGTATAATAAGTAGTTGCTAACCTAGCCTATCGGCTCCGGTCGCCAAAGTCCGGAGAACCTCGAGTTGGATGGGGGCTTGACCCCTYAAACCCCCTGGGGCTAAGTAGCCAACCTGTGGGAGGGGGAAGGGAGCGACACCTTCAGGATCGTGAGGTAGAGGGCATACCTGTCTTTCGGGCAGACGGAATAACAAGTAAATTTAACCTTGTTAGTTATAAACTTACTGCAGGTATAGTAGCATCCTTCGCCTACCGGATCAGGTCACCCAAACCCCTAAAATAAGAATAACCAATCTCTATAGAGAGGAGCGATAATAATAATAARTAATTATACTTTATRAKCATTTAATTTTAAATACTATTTTAGATTATATTATATTATTATGAAAATTATAGATTATAATACACCATTAAAATGTCATTACACCAAGTGCCAAAATTAACTTAATTGGTCAAAAACAACAACCAAGACGTAAATAAGTAGTTATGACGACATGACGTTATATCAGCACAACTTCAAAACAAAATGCTGATCGAACTATCGATCTTAACTAATTAGTCATTAATATACTTAGGTACGTAAGTTTCAAGAAAATAAGAAGAAAAATGCGCGCACGCGTAAAACACAGTTAATAAGAAACTTCCAGAAGCTATATAACTTCGAAACTAAGTCCGACCTACAAATTCTGTTTGGACCATTGTTTTTAAATAGTTATATACCTACGAGTTATTCATAAACTTACTTTTGAATTTTATRAGAGGTCCGTTCACTCTTAATTTCTATGTTACGCACTTGTAAAATGGACATAATAAATGTAGCGTATGTCCTATCAAAAATGAAAAACYATTTGACGTAAATTTGAATCACTTAAGCTAAGCCACAGTTAAGAAACCATATTCTCACACAAAATAGAAAGTTCAATATTATTAATTTATTATATATGTTTAATTGGTATTGTAGAAGCACTCTTAACATTTTATTTTTTTAATAAAATATGTTTGTCATTATGAAAAAAAAGTTTATTTATAGGTATATAAATTTTAAAAATAAAAATCTGACACACAAGCAGGTAGACAAATACTCGTATTGTCTTTTCACTTTTGTATAAATTWTTTTTTTTCGCATGAAAGCTTAGGTGTACAAAATATTTAAGTAAAACATTAAAATAATTATTATACTACGTACTTATATTTAATTTATTGTATAAAACCATAGAGGTTACCTACTTACTTTTGTATTTGAATTACCTACCTAATATTAAGAGAAATATAATAGTTTAATGATATTTTTACTTAAATGCGATTTTTATTTTGTATTTATACCAATCTATATTACAAAATATATATAGAAATTCCGATAGAAATAGGGATAATTGGTCTTAAATATTAATAATAATGTGTTTTTAGGTACGCATAACACCTTAGGTAGGTAAATCCTTTTTAAATGGGGCATTAGGATTACTTTGAAAGTGTAGTACGTTTGCAATTGGAATTAGAAATAAGACACAGATGGTTTACTTTTGGAATTTATTATAAACTTTTTACCAAGCAATTTTATGAAACACATTATTTTCCTAATACCTACCTATTTATGTTCCAAGGCATATTTTCCATAGACCATATACATTATACCTACTTAGATTATAGATCTCAATGAAAATTGTGGGTACCAATYTTATCAGTACTTATACCTGATGGGTACCTAATATAGGGGAAAGGTGTCCAAAGCAACCACCCTAAGGTTGTGTGACACTTTAAGATTTAATTTTTTTTTTATGAAACCTTCAAGATTGTCTAGTTGAACTTGTCAGGAATCATAACTTCCAATCAGAAATAATTTTAAACAAATAAATAAATAGTTATTGACATTTTTTTTAAAGTACAAAATTGTTCACTTTGACTGCCGGTTTAAAATTTCTATTATTATTCATTATTTTATAATATTGTCATAAATAATGTATGTAATATGTATGTTTCTTATTATTTATTTTATAATTAATTAACACATTAGTCAAACTTGGYATTTTTTTGGTGAGTAACAAAGCAATTTTATAAAATAAACATATTATTAACCTTATTAAGCTTTTGAAATCAAATAAACAAATAATATTTAATACATAAATCGTAGTAGTGACAACTTTGCCCTTTTAGTAATGTTTAATTTACTATTTAAAAAATAATAAGCATATTAACTAATTAAACTTGAGCTAATTCTATGACATATAAAAACTTATGTAGATTTTGAAAAACAATAAATTGGGTATATCAATTATTATGTTCATAAAATATAATTTTTTTTTCTGAGCACATATTTTAGATCAACAGCATCGAAAAATGAAATTTTTTTATACGAAAACGGTAAATGTGTCTGTCTCACAGATATATAATAACATGTTGTATGTTGTATTATATAATATCTGTGGTCTGTCTATAGTGGTTTATCAGTTGATAAATATGATAACAATGAACGAACCCACGTGATGAAACCAGCTGTTTATTTATTAATCACAGAATAATAAGACATGACCACGTCTTGTCTTTACCCGCTATGACCACTTTGTACACCTTTCCCCTACCTACAATACGTATAGCATATTATTAGCATGGCGCCATGGCATATTATGGGATATTAAAAATAAGGACTGCAGTATTATTCTCAACCATTATAAAAAATTATAATCCTCGTAATTTGGTATTATGCTGATATGCATGTTTACATATAATATTTGAGGTATTAGCCGCCTCATTTTTAATGTTTTTAATTAAGTACCTATAGATATACTAAGATTTATGATAAAATCAATACCACAAAAATGAATAAGTAATTTAAAGAACAAATGTAGGACACAACACCATTTATTGTCAATTAGACATTAAACGATTAAACCTATTTTGTTACAAAATATTAACTATAGAACCTGGGTTTAGGACATTTCGCCGCGGACCAACCCATAATGTGAAAAAAATGATCAAGAAAAATGCCCTGTTTTACCTGGTATTTCGTCAAGCCTTCTACACAGAGTATAAATATTATAAACAATTTAATATGCTTGTTTATATTTGTAGGTATTTATATAATATATATAATAATACGTGTAGGTATATACGTTRTATACGTAATACGTCCGTCGTTCAAGGTTTACGAGTCACGACCAATGCTCATCGAATTTGAACAAAATAAACGTCATAAGAAGTCGATAATAGTTTACATTCATATTTGAAATTCTAATGAAGTCATTCAAATTTCAAATTGAGAATGCACCATAAAAATCGTTTCATTTAAGTCAAAAAGATTACGTTGTCACTTGTTTTGCGAACAACRTTATKGTCGTTATTGTCTGTCCATCCTACARTGTGGCTGTGTCTGATTTTAAAAGTACAACAAACAATATTCTAGTAATATTGTATAAAGTAAGCTAAGTTATTTATAATATTATTACGATCGATTCGATGTAACCTTGGTAGATACCTACTAATATCGATCTAAATATTAAAATACTTAGCACTCAAACGTCGATATTTGATTAAACATTTAATAAATATTCTGTTTTTGCACTTTCAAATAAAGAAATTATTCCATTCAAAATCTAAAAATTCTACATAAAAAACCAATGTGTATATCATTAGTATGGGGAAAGGGATATGTAAATGTATTACTCATTCTTGTTCTATAAAATTAAAAACAGTGAATTTTAATTATATTTACTGATATGGTATTTAGTATTAATCTTTGTATAAAATATAACCTATCTGTTCTGAGATTCAAATATCGATAAAATTAAAAATGAATATTAAGTACCTATGTCAAAAGATCAATATAATTTGGCCAACTSTAGTTTAATCTTTAAACCATGAAGATAATTTTAGAATAAGTTAGTAATGTCAAAGTGAGAACGTATTGATCTTTAGATTTATTGGTTAATTGGTGAATAATCTACGTATAGATATGGTGACCAGATATTAAAAAAGGAAAACACAGTACATTATAATATAGGCTAATACATTATGTGTATATATATATCAATATAATTACCTAACAATATAACATTAATTTAAACTCATTTATTTATTTTTAAACATAAATATGCATCACAGATTTTTAATCTTACTAACAGTGAAAAATAAAATATGTGTTTTTATACATAGGTAACTCTACTCATTATGTGATTTTCATGAAAAACAAGACTTATAATAATAAATACTTAATAAAAGACAACTTTAGAACTTAGATTATTATTATTATATTTATATTATTATTAGATAGTATCTAAAGCCGTGATTACAATATTAACATTATATCACGATACTTATTAAAACTTTTTTTTTTGATGACAGCATTTTTTTAAATCCCTTAAATTTGAATTTAGGTAATTTTTTTTCCATTTACAATTATTAAATTATTAAAAATAAGTACATTTAAGTATAYTTCGACCATTTATTTAGGACAGTAGGACATGTTACCAAAAAACAGTACTGTCCTTATAAAATAAGTACGTCTGGTCGCCATACGTATAGACCACAAGCATTAGTTTCTTAATCTTTGTGACTTAATCAAGAAATAGATACAGTTCTTTTTTTAGTGATGTAAATTATAATTATCTGTATAATGCCATATTATATCTATATGCTTAGATCATAGTCAGAGCCGGAGGCAAGTGTGATATTGGGGGTCGTGACATCCCGCCATCGGATAATCGTAATGAAAGTCGGCACTTTCGACATACGGAATTTTTTAGATAAAATAACCTATTTGTTATATTTACAAATGAAAATTAAACATCTTTTATAAAACATTCCAACTATAAAATAGTTCCAATATCAGTTGTTGGCAAATGGCTAATTGATTATTGATAWACATATATTAATATGTACTTCTAGAATAGCCAGGGCTATAGATACTTACTACCTATAGCAGTGGAATAGCACATGTTTATTTTTAAAACTGTTAGTATAAMCTGATAAACATTTTCCCGTATCCCGTACATCCATCCACTACAGTACAGGAAAATAATTATTAAACTTGAGTGTCTTAAGCGCGGTGGTGTATTTAATAAAGATTATCGTGCTAAACATGAACGTCAGCAACATAATGGAAAACGAGTTTCAGTTAAGCATTTCGGTGCACCAGAAAATCCATTCGAAGCTTCAAAATACTTACATAAAGCATATTCACCAACTGTAAGTGAGTTTAGAGAATAAAATGTATTCAATTAAGTACCTACATAAGAAATGGTATTTTTATTTAACTTATTTTTCCAAATGATAGAAAACCAGCACAAGTTCTACTATGATTCATTGTATGTATATAATTATAAAATATTAATTATATTATTAATTATAATTATACTTTCTGGTAGGTATTAGCTAGTAAATACTAATCAATAGAATAACTTTTGTATTTGTATCTATAAAAATAATTATTTACAATTTCACTATTGACTAGTATGTGCTGGGTGTACCAAGGATTAGTGTTTAGTTGTGATTTCATCATTTKAAATAAAAATGAGTTAGCAGAAACAACATTTAATAACAAATAGTAAGTCATCCGGCCATATGTGATTATCACTGTTACAATTAATGTATGTGTACTGTGTAGTAGAAAAACACATAAGATACTGTGTATATAAGAAGTTGATGAGCAAACGCTGTGGTCAAAAACAGTTGTGTGCATCTTTCGGAGAAGAGATGCCACAACAACTCTATAACTAGGCAGTAAAAATATCTTTAACTGTATTGTATTAGTGCATCAATGTGGGGAACTAGGGAGGCGCATGACTCCTCACTTTTCTTGTCTGATATAGATTTATAAATAAATATTACAATTTATATTTAATACATTGAATAAATAAAATAGATGATTATATTGTTACTAACTTCTAGATTTATACATTTAAGATAATCACAGAAATACATTTTATCCATTAAAATAATATGTTGATAACAGTAGAATTAAGAACCTCACTTCACATGATCAAATAAAATTCCATTAAAAATTACAGTTAACTTAGTAAACTGCATCCATCAAAAGTTATATCATAGAATCTCTTGATTTTGTTAGGCATGCACAACAATAAAATTAGTACAAATAATTGTTAGTAAAAAAAAATCTTATAAAACTAAATATTTTACAAATTTGTTTAGGGCTGTATAAAATTATATAATAACTATATTCTATGATAAATTTGTTCTCAATAAAATCTAAATTTAAAAAATATACTCATATTTTGTTTTATCATCTAAGGTAACATAAAAATAATAAATTAATTTTAATTTTAGATCAATACAAATTAGTCTTATGCGTTTCCATTACTTTTTTGATCCGTCCAAACATTAAGTAGCTCTTCGCTATCATGATATCCATGACTAGCTATAACATATTTATAACCACTAATAGAATAATGCTTCTTATAAAAATATATGTGTTCACAGTGAAGAGGTTTTATATTTAATTTCTTTGATAGCAGTCCTAAGTAAATGTCATCAAATCGAAACCTCTTTATATAAGAACTTCCATAATAAAATTTGACTAAAGCTGCTTTGGATAACATATACGCACCAGCTGTGACGTATGGAGGCCACATATGATATGGATATTCCGAAAGGGAGACATACCTGTTACAAATAAAAGGAATACAAATTTGAATTATTAGATCTAGGTAGGTAGGCATTAAAATAAAAAAACTAGTAAAAAATGAAATTATCATACCATTTACTAAATTGATGTCTCAATGGTGAAGAATTAAAAACRTATCCAGTAAATAATACCACATCTGATGGCAAGCTATGCTTAGATTGCTTTCCTTTAACTTCTTTGCTTAAATATTCTGGATATTCGGTTGGGTTTCGCAAATATCGTAATACATTTTTAATAGAAACATACATGTCATCATCTGAGAAAAAATAGAATCTTGAATCATTACAATGCGTTGAAGCCCATTTAATTGCATTCAAAGTTTTGATGGTATTATTGTAGTATTCATCGACCATATCATACTGTACGATGTCACCATACTTTTCATGTTCTTCTTTAATTCGTTTTTCTAAATTTAAATCAAAGGACTTTCCTACTATAAAAACTGTTCTAGTTGGTACATCAGAAAATCGATTCTCAAATCCCCAAGTTTGTCGAATAGTTCTTCGTCTATCAAAATGATTTAATGCTGATTTAACCAATACCAGTAAATGAATGTTTCTATTACATTTAGTGTCATTTGATAACAGTAGATCATAATTTAACACATTTATATTAATACAATGTAATTGATCAGGTTCACCAGACTGTGCGTTGATCACACACTTTGAAATGTTGGTTTCTAGTGGATATACAAATTGAGAATAATAGTCCAACTCAAAAAAATGAGTGAAAACACCAAAATAATACAGTAACCCTAATGCAATTATAAAAATATACTTGAAATATTTTTTCAATTTAAATAAATTGTGAATGGAGTAGACCATAATATATTGAATTGACATAATGAAAGTTAACACTAGTAAAACTCATATTATTTATAAAATCATGATGGAAAATTATAATCACGGGGCACGGAATATGCCGATTGCCGACCGCCGGGTGTGGCCGTAACTGCAAAGTCCGATCTAAATTACTCATGCTCGTACTATCACACATTAATACATAATTATCATAACCACGGACCACAACACTGGACTAGTGGTAGTGGACAGGAAACGAGACGTTTACCCGTTACCGCCGGCCGCCGGGCTTCTTTAGTGTCTATGAGAGGGGTGTACGAGGGGGAATCATACATGAGCGAATCTAGCGCCATCTATACTTTAATGAAAAACCATTCCCGCCAAATAAACCTACATAAATATTATATTATAAAAAGCACTAACTATAGCATAATATTGTCATATTATATTATGTTCCACCCCAACATTCCTAACTGTAAAGCACGGACGCACGGTCTACATTACGCTCACGTTTATAGTTTTAAGAAATGGGTAGTATGCCTGTGGTAAGCCAGGCTGCGCTAGATTAGCTCACGTACTATTACCCTTTCTACACCTCTCTCGCGGACACTCGGCGGGCCGGYCTCCCGTCACCCGCCTCCCATAACGTCTCCACACACTCCTGTGTTGTAGTCCGTGATCATGGATAATAAAAGAATGGATAGGCCATTGCTATATTAACAACAAAGGGGTTTGCGGGCCGGAATGTGGATGAGAGACAGATTGCTTTTTATATAGTGCTCTCACTTTAGTAAGGGGTATTATCATTTTTATTTTATAGCAATTTTGATATTTTTATACTGATAAAACCCGTTCTCATTGTTCATGCCCGTGCKATAAGGCCTGATGGCCTATCCATTCTTTTATTATCCATGTCCGTGATCATAACATAAAAATAAATATTAGCTAATACATTTTTATAACACAAGCTGCTGCTGTAGTGAATATTATGGTGATAGCAAAAAACAATGGTGAATGGTGATGGTATCAGCAGGCTAATAATTGGGGTCGACTTGTTTACCCATKATCTGAAGTCTGAACCTCCGAAGACATGGAAACATTTACTGCACCAGTATGATGTTAGACCCAAGATCACTCGTATTATGTAAACGTTTACTGCCTCGTATAAAAATATAAATGCCTAGATACAACTAGGGTCGGCTTGTTTACCGTAACCGTTTACTATTGTCTATTCTGATTTCTGAGTTTTTATCCTACCATTAAAAGAAGAAACGTTTTTTATACACATATTTGTTTTCATTTTCACTTCAAAATGGATATTAAGTGTTTAGCTTGTTCTAATAGATATGGACCATTGTCAAATGTTAGTTTTCATAGATTTCCAAAGGATAGCGAAAGGTAAATATAATAATTAATTAATTATTAATAACGTATGACTAAAATGCAATTTACCAATCTCCACTCGATTCAATTTTTTTTAGCGTTTTTTCATGCTTAAAACGATGATGTAAAATTATTTTAAAAGTTATAGCTTTCCTAATTTATGATTTTACGTTTTTACACATGTGCTCAACACTATTAATTGCCACGCGCRACGCGTACCTATATAGTGGTGGACATAATGTTCGGATTTGTTAAATTTGGATTTCACGGATTATCCAAATTATTCAACTCGATTTTTCTGTTCAGTGATTCATTTTTATATACTAATATTATTTTAAGGTGCCGGRGAATTCAACCAAAATTTACCTATTTTTAAAACGTATACGGTAATTGCGTCAYTAAAATTTTGGGCATGGCCGTTTTCAACCAAAACCAAAGTTGAATAAAAATAAAAATAAATAAATGTGTAATAAACACAAAATAAAAATGTTCTAAAATAAAACGTAGAAAATTATTTAAAATATAAGAATATCTATAAATTAAAATTATTTTTTATGTATAATATATATAAAAATCAGTTATTGATATTTTACCTGTGCTATAAAAGATAGTGACTCTAAAATATGTATAACGATCAATCTTGCAGTTTTTTTTTTTTATTTGATAAAATAGAATATTTACAATCTGTAATATTTGTGCATACAATAAGTAAATTTGATAAATAATAAATAACATAACGTGAGTGACGTGAGGAGAGAAGCCCACCAGTGTGGATACCCTCTAACTTGGGAGAGGGAGTGTTTATTTTTTTTAAATTAGTGTAGRTCGGGATTCAGGAGATCACGACACCAGTGTCTTTTTAATCGACGTGGGGGGTTATTAGGCAAGTATTCATTGGCCAAGTTAGAAATCAACGGATTTGTGTGGTTAGTTGTTTTGGTGTGTACATTTTTGTAATAGTTTTTAGCTGTTTTGGAGACTGTTTCAATTTTAAGATCTTTATGTAGTGAGAGGTTTGAGACGTACCATGGCGCAGAGGCTATTAGGTGAAGGGAAATAGACTGGAAGGTTTGAATATTAGTATTTGGGAAAGTTTGGCACATCCCCATATTTGGATACCGTAGGCCCAGATAAGTTTTAACATTGATTTGCATATTAGTTATTTATTATCAATCAGTGGTGTGACAAAGGACTATATGTGGTGGGTGTCCTCAAAGATCATCTGATGTGTTAAAAAAGCATTATTATTTAAATGAATAAATTTATTTTATCTTAAAAACATTTTTTAATGTTTTTTGTGATGGGTGGAGTGGGTAGTTGGTCTGACAATATAACTGTGCCTCATAACTTAATGAAGTTCGCCACGCCACTGTTATCAATAGAGAGTTTGGACTTGTGGATAGGCCGTAAGAGATGAAATCTGGTGTTAAGAGTCTTTCTTTTAGTTTTGAAGTGTGGGCCCCAGGTTAGACTCTTGTCTAAGATTAGACTTAATAGTATTTATATATTAAATAACTTTTTGTATCGTATAATTTTCAAAATTATTTATTATATATATTAATATTAGGTACACGGTRTACTTAATAATTATTGACATAAATTGTATATTATTATTTTATTTTTTTACATTTATTATATAAATTTTTATTTTGGGCGAAAATGGAATCAACCTATTTTTAATTTGATTGAAAAGGGAACGGTATGTTTTTAGTCGAAAACGGACTCTCCCAAAATTTTACATTTGTGACAGGTGAACCCGACACCTGAAAATTGGGCCACTTTTAAATTTTACAGTAATAAATAATAATGTAATTTAACGTAATACATCATAATATTTTATAAAATGCTACATACACTACATCGCGCATAAAACTTTGATGTCTTATGATAATATTTATTAGAAAAAATGTATTTCTTATTAGATATATATCATTTGATTAACCTTATTTACTTTGTTTTGTATCATATTTTTAAGTATTAGAAAAAAATTATTTTTTTATTAGATTTTTTGAATCTGTATGAAAGTATTTGAATAAAAATATTTATTATTTGACGAATTGTATTTGTTAGACAAAAAATTATAATTAGTTAATACATTTTATATATTCGTATGGTAACTTTCCTGTTATACGAGACTACAGCTATTTTCGCTACTACCACCCAAGACTACCTCTGTTATTGCGACTATCACAATTAGCTGAATGCTATYCATAGGCTGTGTTTTAGCGTCGCAAATACATTATATAAATATAAAATAAATAAATAATGAGTTTTTTTATTGATATTTAATAATTTGATTTATTAATTTGTATGTGTGTCCATCATTCTTTACTATTTT